GCACAGATGTTAGCCCAGGGCCAATCTCCTTCAGCAAAAAGAGGAGGATTGGCAACAGATGTTAGCTCAGGGCTAATCTTCCTCACCAAAAAAAAAAAAAGAAAATACAAATGCTTTCTTCTGCTAAATTAGAAGACAAAAACAACATCCAGATAAGGGCTGGCAAGAGCAGCTGAGGTAGGGCACAAGCTGTGTAGAAGAAAGCACAGAGAACACGCACCTGGAGTGGTCCAGAGAGCTGGGAGATATTAGCAAGTGGGGGCACCACCTAAAGTCAAAGGTGAACCTCGTCAGCAACATTGGATGCTGGAACCTCAACGACAAGGGCTAGTAGCAAGTCTGTCTACTTGGTTCAGAGAGGCAGAAGAGGCACGGCTTCACAAAGCACCACCCAGAACAAACTGATTTGTAGGCATCACCCCCTCTGTAGCAGCAGAGAAGAAGACAGCCTCTGAGTTACAAAGCATAGCTCCTTCCCTACCCCACCTCCCGATGAACCACCTGCAGACGACTGTCTTGTCTCCTTCCAGTGGTGAATAATAAAAAGGAAGCTAGCACACAGCGTCCAAACAAGATACTATAAGGAACAAATTAGGGAAAGAGCAGCAAAACTATCAAGAGATAAATAAAACACACTAAAAAGTTATCAAGGAACACACGAACATTACGATCCAATATTTCACCACGAATTAAAAAATATATATGAAGCCATCATCCCCATGAAGGAAGAAAACAAAGCAGAAATTCAAAAACTCAAGAGTGAGATGGGACGACAACAGGAGGAGATGAAATATGAAAAACTCGGGAAAGCAGAACAAAAATCACGGAAGTTAAAATAAAATTGATGGAAACTCCATGAAGAAAATATACTACGAAACTCACTGTAAGAAACCAGAGAAGGTGACCACAAAGAGAAATAAAGTATTTTTAAAATATTAGAGAGGAAATGATAGATACAGGAGACAGAGGTGATCTATCACACTTTACACACAAAACGAGTTGCTCAAGAAAACCAGCTTGGGGCAATGATTGAGAGAATACACTAAGTCTGAATCTTTGCTCTGCTGCTCACTAGCTATGTGAATTAGAACAAGTCTCTTCACCACTCTCTGTCGTGGTTTCCCCATCACTAAAATGAGGATCATAATAGCACCCACTCCATAGGGTTGTTATGAAGACCGAGTGAGTTAAAATTCGATAAGTGGCTGGAACAAAGTCCCTGGCGTATATGAGGCAACATCTAAGCGTTTGTTAAATTTAGAAATAATAATAAATAAAACAATGGAACGGAAACAGAAACTAGAAGGGTGCTGCCAGGGGCTGCGGGAGGGGAGAACACGGATTTGATGTTTCATGGGTACAAGAGTTTCAGCTTTGCAAGACGAAAAGAGTTCTGGAGACTGGTTGCACAAAATGTGAATGTACTTAACACTACTGAACTGTACACTCAAAAATAGTTAAGATGGTAGATTTTATGTTATGTATATTTTACTACAATTTTTAAAACTATTATTTATCCTGACTACAGAGTTTTTTGCATTGGTGTAGTGAATGGAGTAATGGTAAGTAAGCCAATTTTCTGAAATCCAAAAAGCAAATAACAGCAAGATATTTCTTTAAATTGCTAAGTGAGTTCTCTGAGCAATGCTCCTCCTACCCCTCACTGGATAGCCTCTCTTTTCTATACAACAGGAGGCAAAATTATCTCCTGAGGAGGCATCCTCCCTCTCCAAACTAGAGACGGGCCTGAGGAAACAGATACTGATAAATGCTTGAAACAGAGGGTGGGGACATGGGAGAGGGAACTGATCAGGAAAAGATTGAAGCACCGCCTCTGAGGCCCTGGGTGAGGTTGGAAACTACACATTTTCCAAACCAGAACAGTCCATCAAGGATTTCTGGGAAGTTTTTGAGTGGGAGAGGTAGGCTCTGAAATGCTGGCATTTCTGGGACATCGTGACGGATAGAGGAGACAAGACGGCATATTGAGGATCTGGGACTCTCTCCCCAAATTCGGAACATGTGATCACTGAAAAGGCGTTAGAATGGCAGGCCATGCTCAGAACATTTCATTCTAAGAAAAATGTTTTTATTTGTAATTTAATTTGTATGCTTCGCAGGGTTGGGAGGATGGCAGTTGCTGAAAACGTAAGCTATGCAGCCAGATATGTTTTCCTTTATAACTAAATTGCCAAGGAATACATAGGCCAAAATTAAACCCCATTTATAGTAATTGGCATGCCTCAGGGAGCTGGTGACATCTCACATTCTTTACCCTGATTGATTCATTGCCCACTAGGCTTAATCTTGTAAATTACTTTCCATAGGCATGGCATACATCCTGAATTAATCTTTTTTCTTAGATTAGCATCAACTTTGCTTATCAATTGATATTTTCTCAAATTCCCTGGAGATGTCCACTTCACCACCAGAACAAAGGTGTAAGTTACCTGAAACAGTGCCCAGGATGAGCCCAGCTGGAACCTCTCCCGTGCTCTGCTTTGGGGCACTAAGAATCTGAATCCACAAAGTGTGTGACCGGGACAGGCTTTGTGACTCGACCCCTGCCTTTGTCTCCACCTGACCACCTAGCCCGGTAAGGCAACTGCCTCCTCTTCTAGTCTCAGTGCCCTTCTCCTGGGAGCCTTTGCAACACCATCATGTAAACAGAGGAACCTTCCAAGCAGATGTGCACTGCAGCTTCTCTCCTTCTCCAAAGAGTAGTTCCTGCCTCGTATTGACGCTGGGAATCTTTCTGTTGATTTCTAGACGAGCAGGAGGGTGGAGGTGGGGATGGCCTGTCTCGGACTTCTAACCACCACGGAACATCTCACCACGGAACAGTAGCTTCCTTCTCTCCTTTTCTCAGTGGTGTTCACTCAGTGTCTTAGGCACTTTGCAATTTCATCAGCCCCAAAGAAATTCCCATCTCTTGGCTTTCTGAGCAACCTTCTGGAACCGTTTACCCAAATCACAGCCCTACCTCTCACTGATTTTGTGACCTCGTTCTCTATGCCTGTTAAACTCTCTGATCACATTCTTTGAATGAAAGGGGGGGTTCATTCAGCCTCCATGGAGGTTCTTGTGCTGCCCTGGCCCTCACGGGGGCAGGTCAGTCCTGTTCGTGCCTCTACAAGCACTGCTGTCACAGGCGGGAAGTGCAGCAGAACCCTCGAGAACTGCAGGCGTCCTCACCACCGCCCTGCAGCTAACCTGGGCAGCAGAGCAGCTGCACCTTGCCAAGAACTAAGTCCTGCCCTGACGTGCCCGGGGCCACGTCTCCAGAAGTTTCTCAAGTTAGTAAACACATATCACTTTAGGCCACTTCCCTGGATAATAAACTTATGCCTGGTTGCTAGGCTGACAAATGCACCATTAACATCCATGAATTCTGCCCTTGTACCACGTAAATAATACAAAAGATACAGCTGGTCCCTTCCTAGTGCTTTACTTCCTAAGGATACGGATCATCTAAAGTTATTAAGACATAAACTACACTGTTTCTTTTCAATTCCAGATACCTGGAGGGAGTTTTCCTTTCAGTTTCCTTGAATTCCAAGTAATTACACTGTCACCATCCTTGATGGGGAATGCAGGAAATTCCACACACTCTGTTCTCTCTGCAAATGCATGGAATCTGAAACACGAAGAGACGTGCAACATTAGGCTAGTTAAGTGGTATTTGCACATGTGTATTCATTCTCCCAAGACTGTGAATTTGCTCTTCCATGGCGTTGGGCATCTGACTCGTGTTCACTGCTTTCCCCTGCACCTTGTCAATTCCCACAAACAAAAGACAGGGAGGCAGAAGAGAACAGAGTTGTGAATGCATTGGGATTTTAACTGATGACTCTTCTCTTCACTAGAGGGCAATTAGCTCAACCAAATAGTATTTATTGACCCTGGAAAAATGATACCATGTACTTACATTTATCCTTTTTGTTCCTAGGGTTCAATCATGTCAACACAGTTTTGACAAGTCAAGAGGCTAATGAGGGGCCCAACAGTGCCCACAGCCCTGCGGGTGCAGTGTTGAAAGCTGGTGACAACAGGCACCATTGGCTCATCTGCCAACTGCTGACGGGCTTCAGTCAACTTTAACACGGCAAACACACACTTCCCTAGGACCTAAGCATGAGCACTAATGAAAACAATTCTTGAGTGGGCAAGTGTTTAGGGCCTGACTCCTCAAAGTGTGGTTCCAGGAGCAGCAGTAGCAGCAGCATCACCTGGGAGCTGGTTAGGGATGAACATTCCCGGGCCCGCCGGGATGATGGGTCAGAACACACACTTTAACAAGATCCCAGGGGAGTTGTGCACCTTGAAGCTCAAGAAGTTCTGCTGTCATGCACGGAGGAATGGGCCAAGTCACACTCTGGAAGCCCATCATCTGCAATTCAAAGTCAGTAATCGCAGGACGTTTCTTTCAAATTGGCAGAGGAGATCTCTGAGTAACGCTCTTCCAGCTTCTCAAGAGTTCCACCGCCCGTCGCCACTCACACAACACAAAGAGAATCCTGCAACATGGGCTGGGATGGACAGCTGGATGGGGAGAGGGTGGGAGAGGTGTGGGGGCCGCGCCTGGGCCATGGGAAGCCTCAGTCCTGTCTATTTCTAAAGGGTTTCAGGCAAGACTAGGACAATGACTTGATGGCACTGAACAAGCCCCTTATGAGGCCGATGGACTCCTAACCTGGCTGTGCCTGCCTCCTGCAGGGGCTTCCTCCAGAGCCGAAATGGCCAGCTTGCTTCATCCCATGACCTCCTTGCAGGGCGGGTGGGCGGGGGGAGATGGCTGAGGTTTGTCCTGGCAGTGCCCACACCCTGAGTGCCAAGGCCTTTGGTGCCCAGGACTTTCTACTCTCTGATGTGTTCTCCAGATTAGCAAAGAGAACAAGGCAGACATTTCCTCTGGCTAATACAGCCTCGCTTGTGCAGAAAGCAAATCAGCATTAAGAAGGGCTCTTTGGAGAGCCACAGAGTACAGCACTGCACCCGAGGGCTGGTAGCCCTGTCCAAACACAGCCTCAGGCACAAGGGGACCTAGAGTCCAGACTCAATGCAAGCTGAGACACTCAGCACACGCCCTTTACAGTTAGATAATAACCGCCCGTCAGCTGGGGCTCAACAGCGGAAGGTGCACGGAGAGCACTCAGCAGCCACCAGGGGTGGCAGGGTGGAGCAGGCAGGAGCACCACTCGTCCTGGGCTGGACTCCCCTGCAAGGATCAGAGCAGGGACAGGAGGGCACGTCTACACCGCGTCCTCTTCTGCAAAACTTGCACTCCACAGTGCATGGCCTAAAGCTAGGAGCTGAACCGCAGCTTCTCCCGTGTGAAATTACTCCCTGGCCTCTCGCCTGCCCAGAGAAGGTGCCCCACGTGAGCTGAGCACAGGACAAGCAAGAGAGGTGGCTCTGTCAGTCACCATTTTCTCTCTTCACAAGTGAAATGGGGTAGTGAGCCCTTTCTGTGTTTTCCAGGGCTCAGGCACCCAGAATCGAAGTCACACACCTGATGTTAAAAGATTTCCAAGTGTTTTAAGAGCAGCCAGAGCAGTGGGCTTCAGAATCACCAGGGGTCTTGTTAAAAATGCATATTCCTGGGGGCCAGCCCGGTGGCGCAAGTGGTTAAGTGCTCATGCTCCGCTGCGGCGACCAGGGGTTCACAGGTGCAGATCCCGGGCAGGCACCGACGCACCGCTTGTCCAGCCATGCTGTGGCAGCGTCCCATATAAAGTAGAGGAAGCTGGGCATGGATGTTAGCCCAGGGCCAGTCTTCCTCAGCAAAAAAAGAAGAGGATTGGCAGATGCTAGCTCAGGGCCGATCTTCCTCACCAAAAAAAAAAAAAGGCATATTCCTGGTCCTCCCTAGACCCTGAAAATCAGAATCTCTGGGGCTGTGGCCAAGATGTCTGCATTTTAATCAAGCTCCCTTGGTAGTTCTTATGCAAAGGGCTGAAATACACATTTCCAGGATCCCCTTTGTGACGCAGAATCGGCCTGCAAGGTGAAGCCTAGGCCTCGGAACTATTAACAAGCTCCCCAGGCAAATATGATGAGCAGCTAAATTTGAGAACAAATCTCTAGAACAGGCATTGTACCAATTTCAGACAGGCTAACTGAGGAAAGGATTCAATCACTCTACTTGTAACCACATAAGTAGTTGGTCTCCCTCCGCAAGGGACCTAAACTCACACACACACAGACAGGGGCTGGGGAATGTTTTAAAATGTAGATTTTATTATGATCCAGGTATGGTGAGGCCAACAGATCAGGAAACAATTGACAGTGAAAACAGAGTTTGCTACCCACAGTTTCTGCTATGGACTGAATTGTGTCCCCCAAACTCCTATGTTGACGCCTTAACCCCCAGTGTGACTATATTTGGAAACAGGGCCTATAAGGAGATAAATAAGGTTAAATGAGGTCATAGGGTGGGGCCCTGATCCAATACAATTAGTATCTTTTTAAGAAGAGACACCAGAGAACTTACATGCCCTCTGTCTCCCCACCACAGGGAAGGACACAGCAAGAGGGCAGCTGTCTACAAGACAGAAAGAGAGCTCTCACCAGAAACTAAATCAGCCAGCATCTTGATCTTGGACTCCCCAGCCTTCAAAACTGTGAGAAATAAACTTCTGTTGTTTAAGCCACCTAGTCTGTGGTATTTTGTTATGGCAGCCAGAACTGACTAATATAGTTCCCAAGAGGAGGGGGCATGCCACACCACAGAGGGCCACACAGGGAAGCACAAGGGCCGGTCAGGAGGCAGAGGGGACAAGGGGACAATCTCTGGGCAACAGTCTTTGTTGTGGATTCTGCAGGAAGGTATGGGTGAGGCAGAGTGAGCAGGTTTAGGATTGGCTAGTTTGAATAATTTCAGCGGTGTGGGGTGTAGGGGCTGTCCTGAGTTGTTTGGTACCTGGCCGTGGGGTGAGTAGGACAGGGGATAGTAGCCCAGAGTATGAGAGCCTGGATGGAGAGTGTGGGCTCTGGATTGGTTGTTTGCATATGACAGGTCCAATCCTGGGTGAGTCAGTCACTCTCCAGGAATTAGCTAGTCCTGGGAGGGGCCGTCTTTCCAGGGTCAGCAAGGCCCCAAGATCAAAGCAACAGAATTACAGAAAATAAAAAGGCAGGATTAATACAGGGTAGAGAAGAAAAGGTGCGTGGAGACTAAAGACTACTGCTAAGAGGGGAAGAACACAGCAACAGACGGGTCAGGAAGACCACGAAGAATCCAAGACCCACCCCTGACCTTGTGTAAGCAGGCAGTTCCCTCGCTGTTACTCGAGAGCACGTTTTCTGCCTACCTGCCGTGGGTCTTGGCGCTCAGATCCTTTAAGAAAGCTATAGTGCCTTCTCCTCTCGCATTGAAGGACACTGTGCAGACAGGATATGGGATCTCCAAAGCCCTCTGAAGGAGAAGCTCCTTGGATTCCTCAGAAACATCCCCCACCACAAAGTAGTAAATGGATTCAATCTGCAAAACAGAGGTACCAACAGTTTATCTCCCTGACACACCCTAGCCTTGTACTGGACCCATCGGCAATACACTTTCTACAAAACCGCCTCTTAAAAAAAAAAAAAGACAGAAAGAAGAGTGGCACTGCTCAGTGTTTTGTGAGGGCATTTGGGGGCCAAAGTCAGGAAATAAGATATTCAAGCCTGGTGCCAAGAAAGTCTATCGGCCATGGCTACAGTCTCGGGTTTTGCATAGGAAGGAGATGATTGGCAGATTTGGAGAATAGCCTCCTCCGAGCTCACGAATATACTATACAGGTCAGGAGTGGCTATTTTCAAGTTCAGGAAAGAAGGAAGTGTTGGCACAGCCGCTGCAGGCGGGCAGCTTATTAATCATTTCCCAAGGCGCTGCCAGAATTCTGCAGTACAAACTCATCCATCCTCAGTCTGAGGCAGGATGTGGGAGGGAGCGCATACTCCCAACTGGTTCATCCTCTGGTCTCATCTCACAGGGAAACACATGCCTGGGGGGTGAGGCTGTCCTGACTTCACACAGCAGGTCAGGAGCCAGGTCCAGCCACCGAGCCTTGCCTCTCACAGCCGTGCCAGGTTAGGAGAAGATTGGGAGAATGAACAACCCTTGTGTCAGAAGCCACACATACACACACACACACACTCCAACCTTAAACCAGGCATCTGGGAGATGCATACCTCACACGGGTAGGAGACAATCCCACATGCTTCCTGCTGAATTTAGAGATGTAAAATCCACCCACCGGGCCCAGTGACAACAGTCCCACCCTCAACCTCAACCACACTGCTCTTGATCTTCCCAGGACTTTCTTTGTCTTCCACAGTGTTTGTCTCTCCCTCTCGCCACTAGTGAGTTCTGTAACCTCAGGCAAGTGATTCAACTTCAGTTTCTTCACTTGTAAAAAGGGAGATAATGCAGTTGACCTCATGACTGAGTTTAAACAAGATGACTTACGCTTATATATGCATATGAATCTCAGAAAGTAAAAACGCTGGGCGAGTCAGGAGTACATATCATCTAAACCTGCCCCTTAAAACGTCCTAATTGATTGTCTCCACAAATGATTAGGAAGAAAACCCAGCAAATGCATTGTTTTAAGGGATAAATAGATGTCACCATCCTCTTAGGCCCCATTAACTGAAGGTAAATAATTAATTACCTCACCTCAACTTCAAACCTGGGACATAAGCCCACCTAGCACAGAGAGGTGGACTTAAGGTCAGCTCGCCAGCTGGTTAGGACGCCCCAAGTGCAGCAGCCGGGGCAGACTGTGCCCAAGTAGGCAGGCGGGGGCAGGGTGGTGGAGGGCCTGGGCTGGAGCCGGGGTGGGAATTGAGACCAGCCAACCTCAGGATCAACCATCCTCCCACTAGCACAAAATGCCACCTGCCCCCAGGGGCTCTTTCTCTCAGGCCCTTCAACACCAGCTCCCTGCTTTTAAAAAGTGCCTCATGGGAGGTCAAGACTGAGGAATGTCGTAAATTTCTTCTATTCAGTCATCCAAGAGGCAGAAAACATACTGAAAGAAGGAAGAAACAGTGTTCTCCAGATTTCTTATTAGACAACTAATATTGTTCTTCCGGCAAATGCACTACATCTCATTCTTTCTTTCCCTGGTGTTAGCCATTAGATACCTCGTGTAAGATGTATTAACTAGGCTCCGCTGAGCTGCACTGTTATTAATTAGTTTTCCAGCTGTGTTGGAGCCCAAGTTTAGCATGAAGACAGGTTCATCCTCTCATATGGGTCTAAAATCACACATGGCCCGAGACAGGCGAGCAGACACAGGGAGTATTCTCCAGGGTTTGTCAGATCAACAGGGAGGTGAGCGAGGACCAACATCTCTAGGTGGTTTGTTGGCACCTTCTGACACCCCGCGTCTCTGTGGTGCCTCATGCAAACTCAGTTTCTTTGCTCTGGCAGTTACCCAAGAGTCTGAAATCCTTATGCAGAAATGTTTTTCCCTTGAGATTTCATCGGACTAAAAATTGCTGCAGCCAGCAGTGAGTCAGGATTTCCTTTCCTAAGGCGATGGAGTCATTCGCTCACCAGTTATCAGTCCAATACTCAGCTTCCTAATTGCCTGTGTTTTCAGTCAACTCTCGGTTATCCATGCTACAGACTTCCTGGGATATGCTTTACATCGAGACCACCGATCCCACCTCCATTCTCCTGCACACTGCCTTTCCATCTCTCCTTTCTGCTCAAATAATGACATTTAGAAAAACAGAGAGGATTACACATATGCTGCCTATCACTATCTCCCCAAAATTGGCAAAATGCGTTTTAAACTGAAATGGCTTTGGGGCCATCTGCTATTTGGGATGATAAGCTAACATGAATTATTTTATTCAACACTCCCAACAGTCCTGTGGAGTATGAATTCTTATTATCATGCCCAGTTTACAAATGAAGAAACTGAGGCCTGAACAGGTTAACTGACCTGGTCTTGCAGCTAGTACACCCAGGCTGCCTGACCACATGAGCTTCCGTCCCCACCTTCAACCATGCACTTTGTTGGCTCATCGTGGCAAGGCCAGTCACCTATCAGAGATGAATGTGAATCCCAGCATTGTGAAAGCAAGATCATGGGAGAAGACGGTGGCCAGAGACAGGCATGTTACTGCCCAATGTGGGGCCTTCTGCTCGCCGCAAGACATGCCAATAGTCAAGAGACAAGGTGGTAGGAGAAAAAGGACTTTATTATTATAGCTTGCTAGCAAGAGGGAAGATGGCCGACTCATGTCCAAAAGAACCATCTTAAGGGGGCATGAAATCTTACAGTAGTTATATAGGCCATTGTGTTATTGGGGATGGGGTTAGGAATGTTGACCTTCTTGTGTTACAGACTGGAAGTGCCACACCAGATCTTTCAGTTTTCACCGATGATGGCTATCAGCATATATTCTCTGTTCGGGGGTCATCACACTCCTAAGGAACTCAAAAAGGCAGTTATCATCTTATCGCAGCTGGGGGGTACATGCACAAGCAGGGGTCATAAAATCTACAGAGCAGTTTTAGATCTCCTGGAGGGTGCAGATCCAGCTGGGTTAGTTTGTCAGAGGTCATTCGAAGTTACAATAGAGTTTTTCTTTTCTACAATATGGCTCCCCTTATGTCAACCTTGTCTTGAGCCGGTATCAGGCACTGTTTTCACTTCCTTGGCTCCCACATCATCCAAGGCCCCTGCCGCCTGATATCAACATCAGGAGGTTGTCTGGCTCAAAGGAATTATCCTCATGGGAATCCTCACGCCTTAACCAGTACCTCTGAGCTCCTTGAGGGTAAAGGCCAGTCTTGATCAGCAGCAGCAGCCAGCACCATGAGCTGCTTCCTCGCTGACTAGCATTTCCCTAAACGCTGATTTGCACTGAATTTGATAAAATAATATACGGAAAATATTCGGGTTCCATTCAGCTATTTTTCTGTGAATCAAAAACTCTTGCCATTTTATACTATATAAAATAGGGTAGAGCCGCTGCGTTACACTTGAAATGTCTTCTTCTGTCTGGGCCATTTGTTCTGCAGCTTCCCACGCTAACATGCATTCTGCCTGGCCATGGAGGCCTTGACATCTTCCCAGCCACAGGTTTGGGGGAAAAGAAGAACTAGACTGCGAGTGGCTGCTCCGGCTCTCATTGCCCCTGCTCTAGCCATCAGAAGCCCCTGAGGCCTCCAGGTATAAAAATCTCCACTCTGCAAGAAAGCAAAAATGAAAGTCCACCAGAACAGCAGCAAGATGTCTAGCAAAATTCTGTCTTGTTCTTTATACAACTTTGACCACTGCAACAGTTTTGACCAACTCCAGACCATGGATCTAACTTCCAGATGCTCCTTGCACCTGCAGCAGCGCTTTCCTGGTTTGGCCCGTTTTGATTTTCTGATCACCGCAGGGCGGTGACTGCCCCCATGGTATTAATCCAGCTCCCTTCTCAGATCCCTCCTAACACCCTGACCACCACCAACTAACTTCTTGGCCTCCCAGGCTTCAGGGTCCCTGTCCCCATCCACCATCCCCACCAGAGTCACCCAGGCTCAGCAAATTCACCTGCCTGGTCCCATGCAGACCACCTCCCTTCAACTCAAAAAAACTCAAATCTGTACCATAGCTTGGGGATGGGAATTCCTTGGACCCACATCTAGCCCCCAACCTCAAGAATATCAATATTATTTCCTTTCCATTCCTTCACTGTTCAGCAAACATTTATCAGGCCCTTGCTGGGCATTGCCATTGCTCGAGACACAAAGGTGAAAAGATTAGATGTCTCTTTGAACCACTGCAAGGAAATAAATGAAATGCCAAGTTCACGATCGACGTGGCCAGTCCTTCAGCTTACCGTCCAGCAAGTGGCTAAGGCTCTTTATGGAATCACGTGGGTCTGTCTCTAATTCACCCACTTAGTCTCCTAGTGAATATGATTTAACAAAAAAAAGGAAACAAATTTGTCCCTATCAGGTGGATGGAAGAGAGGCTGAGAGAACACAAAGAGAAACACAGGTGCCCTCTGGGCAGGTGCACTTCTGCTGAAAGCAGAAGCAAAGCCCCAGAGTCAGTCTTCTTAGGCAGCTGGGAACCGGGGCTTTGGATAGACAGCCTTCTCTTTCCTAAAGTCCCCTCAAATCCTGGATTAGCAGGCCTTCCAGGGCCTCCTGGCACAGCACCCCTCCTCATAAAGGCCAGAGAAGCTACCAACTTCCAAAAGATGTGTCCAAGGACCAGAGGACACTGCAGAGCAGAAACCCTGTGCTAGACAACACACCTGGGCTCTGAGGACAAGGCCAGCCCCTCTAAACCGCCAAACATTTCCTCAGTACCCCACAAGCTGCCCTTCCCAGGAAGCAGGTGCTTTTCCACAGAATACACCAGTAATTCGTCTATCAAGAGTGCTCTTCACGTGACATTATTGGAGCCATGATTTAAAAAGACCCTACACTCTGCCCCGTCTCCTCTTGCACTTGAAGGCTCACCCTCAGTCATCCATCTCTGTTCAATCTTCCTGGTCCACCTGTGGTTACAAAGCCCGGTCCTGGAGGAGGCCAGAGGCCTCTGGGCATCCTCCTTCACCGTAACGAAGCACATCATCAGCCCTTCCTCTCATGTGGACCTGGTACAAAAACCCAACTTCTGTGTCAATCTTTGCACACAAGAAAATACCTACTTTCTTGGTTCTTCTCAGGACCCACTCATAGGACATGCTAACCCAAAGCAGGTTATCATCTGTAAGAAAAGTCCGGAGTTTAGATGTACTATTCAAAAAGTTGCTTAAGCCTTAAGTCTTTTCTATTCATAGCAAACTGCAGCTACATGGGTCAATCTGAAACTCACGGGGGTAGACACGAGGGGCACAGAGCAGAGGAGCAGGCCCTACGAGAACTTCTTCCCCTCTCCGCCCCACACACACACATGCTTTCTTTTTACTCCTCATAAAACATAGGACATGGCATTTTCATATGAGGCAGTTGCTTTACTAGCATTTTCCTTGGGACCACACCCAAATACAAGCTCTAGGTGGAGGCACACTGTGGTCTGCATGTTTTGCATTTCCTGCACTCCTCAGTCTCTTCTCAAGAGTTTTGAAGCGGCATTTGATGCTCAGTGCCTGGAAGCTTCTTTCTGGGTTCTTCTTCTTCTACAGGATTTCCCTGGAACCCACTAAGTTGTTCCATATTTCCTGGGCTAGGGATGAATCCCAGAGAAAGGAAAGGCACAAACCAGAGGGAAGTAAAACAGAAAATGAAGATCACCGGGAAATCCTGTGGTCACATCAGGTCGCCAGAGTCAGCTATGACCAGGGTAGCCAGGTGAACAGACAAAGAGAGAGAACACCCATGTGTGTGCTCACACACACACATGCACACACACACATCCAAGAGCCTGTGAAATGTTTCTTCTTGAATGCTTATTACGGTGTCCAGACACTTGAAATTTTACAGATGTTAAAACGAACTTGAAAGGCCAAAGAACAAAGTAACTTGTATTTTACTCTCCTTTAATGGGAAACATTTGTTCCCCCGGCTTCATGAGGATAAATAATGTGTTTCCAATTTCAAACTGTCACCCTCAGTATCAATAAACACAGTCTGCTGACCACTGGGGGCCATCCTTTCAAGGTGCCAGCACGTGGCCTCCTTGCCCAAGAAAGGACTTCTTAAGATGGCAGAGTAAAGCTTGAAATCTACAGAATCCCTGGGCGTCCTGAGTCGAGGAAGCAATTAAGTATTAAGATTAATTAATTAATCTTAATTAAGTATCTGTAGCCCAGAGGAAAGTAGACCTACCCCACTCAGGGAGTTGAGGCTTGCCCAAGGACCCCGCCTGCCCAGAGTACTTCCTCTCTAACTTGTCACTACCCTTAACTCCAAAACTCCAAAAACACACACCCTGTGGCTAAAAAAACACAAAATACCACCATTTAATCACTTCTTCCAGGTAAACCTTTATTTCTAAAAGGTCCCAATAAAAAAAAAAAAAAAAAGCGTATATGAATATATTAACATTTGAAAAGGGATGATTCACCAGCTTGGATATACTTCACCTTGGAAAGCACAGGATAGACCCGCCTGTGAAGAAGAGGAACTGGGAAAGATTCAGAACATGGATGTTGGGGAAACCCTATTTCCTCATCCTCAGGGTTCTGAGGAATTGTCTAACCTCCCCTCTCCCTAAGAGACGGGCTGATTGATCTAAGTGTCAGGAGAGCAAGAGTGGAATTAAAATGTTAGAGATGCACAACTAGGCCTCACTCCTGTCCTCTTTGATGCTCAGTGGCTGTGAGCAGCAAGTGGCTCTCCTGGCACTGGCTAAATGAGGGTCTGCCTTGCGCCCCAATCACCCCACAGCGGGACCCCAGCCAGGCCCAGGGGCAGGTATTAGGGAGTCTCATTTTGTTTGGTCCAGCTCTGCCATCACCAAAGCTGCTATTTTGATCCCCATCTGGGGCCTGTCAGCTATTTCTCCCTTCGTTGCAAATTTAGAGGTGAATCAGAATAAGACTTATGGTGCTCTTCAAAGCTAATGATGGGGTCTCTGTGGGATGCCGCTGGAAGGGACCAAGGTCAGCCGAAAGGCAGTATGAGGATACTGAGTGTGAAGAAATAAGCCTGAAGCCACCTTCGTGACCTGGGGCCAGCCATGCACGCACACTTACAGTTTTGTCTTTCCCAGCTTCCAGCAGAGCATCCAGGTGGCTAGCCTGGCTCACAGCCAGCTCAAAAGTCAGTTCCTCAACCCAACGGACAGCAGCAGCGATGGACTGTTCTGTCACAGGAGCAGCATTTTCCTGCCATTTCACAGGCTCGTGAGAAACCCTGAAAGGAATCACACAGGGCTGTCACTGGGCAGTGGTCAACATCGTCATCGGCCCTCAGTCACAACTACGAGCAACAAGCCACTTACCGTCACCAGAGCTGAAAGGAAGAAAAAGCACCTCCCAGCCCTCTGAAAGTTACCAACAAAACAGGCAAGCAGTTTAAGACAGGTTTCCAGCACCATTACCTTCCACAAGCTGTACTGACTAGGAAAAACAACGTTGACAGGAGAATAAAAGATCTCAAAAATGTACACATTAACAAATGCATTAAAACTGTTGAGGGCAGTTGTTTTCATAAACAGGCAGGTTTATAAGCAACTGTCTTCTATTGACAGTAAATTTATAAGGACACATTAAGATCTGCAAATCAGCAACAATTTTATTAACATAAAATTTTATTTCTAATGCTTTTATGACATTGCTTTCATTGTTCTGAAAGATTCCCACCAGTTGCCTTTTTTGAATCCAAAATAGTATTATTTTGAGTTCAGCAGAGCGTAAGTTTTTAAATCCTGGGATAATTTGATTAAATCATTTAGTTTGGACTTGGAAATGTGATGGAAACCCCTCCCCAAAAGAACAGCCATTTGAATTTATTTATCTCTGTGTTTATAATTGAATGAAATATACGAATCATATATGATTATAATTATAAGAATTATGTGAATCACGGACTAATCAGCCCGATTTGTCCCTCATAGCCCACCTCCAGAGGCAGAGGCTGCCTCACACTGTGCCAGCTCCGAGTGGCCCCTCTGGGAAGAGAATCTGGTTGAGTGGCATAAAAGCTATACCATACATTTCCAAGAAACCTAAAGCATTGCCGTCTTAAGCACAGAATTCCTTCAATAATATGTCTGTGACAGAAATAGGAACCTGGATAGAACACAATAGATGACATCCCCAAAGATGTCATCTATTTAGCTAAAAATATTTTACTTATAAAAGAAAAACTCAATTAGGTGGATGCCCTCCTCATCCAGATGTTTCCTCTCAGGGGGGTCCAGCCACTATTCCACATGACAAGTTGGCACTAAAGACCAAATTCTCTTGAATCCAAGAATCCGTAAATAATTGATTGTGAAAACTCTGAAATATGGGAAATTCTATAAAGCCAGCCACCTGTTGTTCTGACTAAAGGTGATCAACTTCCAGGGGAGGTCAACTTGAGTTGCAAACTCAGTCTGAAAAACAGTGAAATCTGTGACAAGTATGAATTCATTATCCAAGCCAAAAGCTAAAAATATGTGAAGGTATTTTATGCCTTAAATATATATTCAATATAATTCTTATTCTTATATTTTGACTTTGCCATGCATTGAGAAAAGTATGTTTTTAAATCTCTTCTAATTTTAAAACTAAGATGCCAATTGCAAAGCAGATAAAAGTTTTATGAGATCTCCTCTTTGTAGGTTTCCTGCTGGAATTATATACTCTAGGAAATTACAAGATAATACCTCCTCCCTCCCCATAGAGCTAACTACGTTAGTTATGCTACTTAACTCCAAATACATGAAAATTACGTATGAAGTTTCACTGAAATATACCCTTCCTATGGGAACTCACCATATGATATTGAACTTGGCTACGTGAGCCACCTGCTCCTGGAGGACCATTATTAAAGCATCTTGGCACAGATTAAGCTCCTCCTCCAGCATGCCGCCAAAATCCAGCACTATGGTGATGCACTGTTCCAAGATGACACCAAAAATCTGTCGGCTTTTGCTAGTGAGCCAGTCCATCCGCTGCTTGTAGCTCTCCACAGCTTGTGTTAAATGTTCCACAAACTGATAGATAAGTTCTGACTTGGCTGTCAACTTAATGAAAAGAAAAGTAAAAAAACAAAACAAAATAAAAACTCACCAAAATAAGTCAACTGAACCACAGTGCACTCAAGAACAACACGGCCCACTGAGTCACGGCCTCTGCCATTAAGAACTGTGCATTAATAACAAGTGTGTAGATGACCCTCCAAACCTCCATAATCCAGGAGGAAGTGTTGCAGCCTTTGAGCTGAAAACCCTTTTCTTCTGTGATGATTCCTCACAGAAGAAAAGATGATGATGTGTTCTATTCAAAATATAGCACTCTTTTTAAAAAATGTGTTTCTAGATTGTGTTTTATCATTATAGTTACAGAATTATCTTTATCATAAAATGCCCAGAGGCACATGTAGAAGAAAAGAGAGGTCAACAAAAAACTAAAACTCACTAAAAAGTTTTCCTAAGTACAACATGCCAAAAATATTTCTGACAATGCATCTAAACATGCCAGCATGTCTGTCTGGCTTCCTCGGAGAGACGCCGCTCCATGACTCGTCCTCCTGCTCACGACCTTTGTCCTGGGTCCTCTGTCTCTCAGGCCAAGCTCCCCTGTACCTGGATCACTTGATCACCCATAGCCGCCACCAACACCTCTAGGCTGCCCCTGAAAGGCGACAGAGACTTGTGGGCAATTTCTTATACACACATCGTTCACGTAGATCAGGCACAGGCATGCAAGGCCTTTCAGTGTATAAGGAGATAGGAGACATACAAAAGGAACAAGAAAAAATTGTGTCCTATTCTGCGAAGAATCAAAATTTATAAGATCTGGTACTTTGAAAAAAAAAAAAAAACTTTAACAACCCTCAGATCACCCCCAAATACCTAAATTGTTATGGAAAATGTGTTTTCTGAACACATCATGTAATTCCACATTTTCATGCCTTGGCTCATGCTGTCCCCTCTGCCTTAAACTCCTTTCCTACCCTATCCTTCTGTGTCTCTCAAGCTTATTCCTCAAGCTCTGGCATCACTTCCTGCTGCTTTCCCTGGCTCCTTAAGGCAGAATTCCAACTCCCTCAGCAGCATTCACAGCGTTTACTACAAGTCTCCACCATAACACAGAAATCAGGGTGGGGCCGTGTCACAGGGGCTGTGGAGGTGGAATTAGGTGGCAAAGACAGACATTTTCAATAGTTCTGTACTGATTTTAATGTGGTTCAGATAAAAAACATATTTAGCACACCAAACTCAAGATTCCATGGATATTATTTCTCAGGACCATGCTAAGTATAAAGTAATGTAAATTTTTTAAGTATTAAGAAATAACAGTCCCAGTGGTCCATGGATGTGATTGACAGGAACAAACAGCCGTAAAGTGATGTGATGGGACATGTGTCTCTGTGAGCTCCCTTTGGTGGGCCAGGGTGTCCACAAGGCCTGACACGTTGTGGGGGCACAAGGAGCATGTGCTGAATTGCTGGGAATGAAGCACTCCACTAAGAGGTCCCGCTCGCTCTCGGTCCACTACTATGTGCAAAAGCTGCCCTCTATTCCTAGTGCATCTGTCAGGTAACAGTGCCTTGCTCTTGCCTTTCAGCTAACCTCTGTCATACTGATTTTTTTCTTTATTTTCAAGGCAAAACAAAGTGTTGATATGCAAAGGTTACCTCTGCTCAAGAGTTTCCGCACTCATCTCTAAGGGGTCAAGCGCTTCCCTCCCCAGGTCCATGGCCATGACTTTCATCACTCCGCACACATCCAGAAGAAAACCTCCAGCCCTGATAAGGCGTTGGCTCCGCTGCATCAGTGCAAAGCAGTGTGAGCCTCTCCGGGCAGACTGCTCCCAGAGCTCAGCATCCTGTCACAGGGCCTGTCCCTCGAGGGAACTCTGACTTACGTTGTATACTTTGCCATCTTCTGCTCTGTAGAACCGTGGAAACAGGCCATCTGCATACCGGGAAGCCACAAGTCTCCCCAGAGAAGTCACATAGTCTGCATTTTTATAAAGAGAAGCATTCAAAATGGTGTCTTATCAAAGTTTCTTGTTCTTATTTCAAAATGTTTTTCTCTGGCACCATTCAAAATATATCCCCAGTGACACCAACAATCTGTGATGCTTCGTATTCTGTTCTAAATAAGGGAGTGTTCCTAGGTGCTATGATAAATGTAACTGTTTATGACGTGCGTAATCCTTTAACGTATGAATGAACGGGGAGGAAGAACAGGGTTTGTTTCTTGGTTTCCTGGTTCTTTTGTCCAGAATGAGTAAGGCAAAGGTCAAAAAGACAACAAAGAAATTGTGTTTAATTCCCAAAAGCTTTTATTCAGGACTTGGACTTAGTTTTTAGAATTTTAAAACTTAAACTTAGATATTATCTATTGTTCTCTTAAGTGGGGGTTCATGAATAAATGAGTGAAATGAAGCAAACAGGTAATGGATTCAGAATACTCATACAGAATGTCAAAACCACAAGACTTTCTTCTCAAATTATATGCTCAGCTATTCAAGACCCATTGCACAAACACTTATTGAGCACCTACTGTGTGCGAAGCACAGTGCTTACAGGAGGGCAATACAATGCTGCCTGAAACATACTTCTACTCCTTCATGGAACTAACAGGATACAGAAAGGCGTCAAGGACTATGACTTGGCAGGACAGAAGATGAGGTAAGGCTTCGCAGAGATATTTTTATTGTGATGATTATTGTATTGATGTTGTTATTATTAAGTCCCAAAGGTGGGACAGAGAATGGTGGTACTCTTGGATCCAGCAATTCCTTTCCTCTGCCTTTCTAGGGAGGCAGGATAACAGCCTACTTTGGAAAGGCAGAAAGGGCAAGGCTGAATTTTACAGCCTCCCTGGCCAGGCTTGATCCCAAATCACCAGAGGTGATAAAATTTACAAGTCTTGATGTTCAATGATCATAATAGTAACAGTAAAAAATAAATACTTGAATTTCATCAGCAATAACTTCCCTCAATAAACCTCTCAAACTCAAAAAATCTCCATTTCTAAGATTTCAACGTCTTAACTGATATTGATAGAGCAACTTCAAACCACCATCAGCATTCTCTCTTTACCTAAGACATTTATCTGGAGCCAGGAGAGGGGGCTGTTTTTTGAGGATTGAAGGAGATGAGTCTATGGAGGACTCTATAAGCTGTGCTGCCAATTAAAACGTAAGGCATGTGAGTTCTGCATCCAATAATGGTGCAGTATATTTTATTGGCTAACCCTCACACAGAAAAAATTATAAATTCTGGACAAAATATAAAAATAGCTACTTGAAGGCACTAGAGAGCAATCAAGAATAGGCGTATGCATTTAGAGCGTCAAACTACACGAACAAAACTGCAGAACTAAAGGGAGAAATGGACAATCCACTAGATAATATAGAACATCTCTACAATACTATCAACCATCTGAGCCTAATTAACATTTATAAATATTAACAACTGCAGAATACACATTCTTTTCAAGTGTGTATGAGATGTTCGCCAAGATACATGCTGGGCCATAAAACAAATCTCGGTAAATTTCAAAAGACTAAAATCTTATGTTCTCTGACCTTAATAGAATTAAATTAGAAATCCAACAAAAACAAGATATCTTTAAAAGTCCTAAAATATTTGGAAATTAAACAACATATCTCTTAAAAACACGAATCAAAGAAAAAAGTCACAAGAGAAAATATTTTGAACTCAATAATAATGAAAACACTACCTATCAAGATGTATGGGCCTCATCTAAAGCATTGTTTGGAGGAATACTTAGAATTTTAAATGACATATTAAAAACTAGAAAAATACATGCAAATTAAACTCAAAGTAAGTAGAAGGAAATAAATAATAAATATCAAAGCAGATGTCAACGAAATAGAAAACAAAGAATAGAAAACAATCAATAAACCCAAATTTGGTTCTTTGAAAGGAGTTATGATATACCCCTAACACGGCTTATTATGAAAAAAAGTGAGAGAAAACACAAATTATCAATATCAAGAATGAAAGAGGGGACATCACTACCGAGTCTACATGCATTAAAAAAAATGTTAAGGCAATATTATGAACAATGTTTTGCCAATATATTAGAAAACACTGATGAAGTGAACAAATTCCTTGAAAAACACAGCTTCCCAAAACTGGCATAATGAAAGAGAAAATCTGAATAGCTCTATGTCTATTCCAGAAATTGAATTTCTTCTCAAACTTTTCGTTCAAACAAAACTCCAGGCTCAGATAAGTTTCACTGGTGAGTTCTATCACACTTAAAGAAGAAATAGTATCAATCGTGTACAAGCACCATCAGAACATAAAGGAGGAGGGAATACTTCCAAATCATTTTATGAGGCCAGCACAATTCTGATGCCAAAGACTGACAAGGACATTAAAAGAAAAGAAAAGCACACAGCAACATCCTTCATGATCTTAGATGGAAAAATCTTTGACAAAATATAAAGAATTGTTATTTTTGCTAATATTAATGACTGGATTGTAATCATTTGAAATATGAGATAAAACTGCTTTCAGTTTGTTTCCTTATATAGAAATCCCATAGACCCTGACTCTGGCAGACCCCCCCTCAAAAGGTATTTAGATGGTACAGGACTGTACTAGCCCTTGTGGAAGGATAAATAAGACAGCATAGCCTGAGCCCTGAAGAACAAGGCCCTGCCATTAGGATGGGCCTCCGGATCAGTCTGTAACAACTACATCCCCTAGACCTCCCTTATCACCACTATGGAAGAAAGCTGCCAAGGGAATTGGTGAAATCTCAGAAAAACATGGTATTAATGGCTGCTTAATAAATATTTGTTTAACTGGTTAATTAGTTAATTGACCAATTCAGAATTACTGAGTAAAATCCTAGTAATGGAAATTGCCCTGACTGAGGGAGTGCTCCACAGCTGGCGTGCTACTGACATGTTATATAGGACACCCTGCTGGGTGGGCTATCACACACATGGTAAGACACTCAGTACTCCTGGTCCCCAGGCCCTATATTTCAGTGGCAACTCAAGTCAATATGTCTTCAAAAAAACACACCCTCACACATTTCCATACTCCCTGTGGGAGGGCAGTACTACTGGGAATTGAGAACCAACATTCTAATCAATGCATTTAGAAAAAACCAGACCATAAGGCAGGCCACAAGAGGAACATAGCATGTTCTGCCCGAAACCACACACAGCTAGTCTTAATCAATAGCCTCCAAAAGGGGGTTGCACAACCCAGGAGATGAGAGAGATGTCTGCTGGGTTATGGATAAAGACAAATAACTTCTATTTATCTTTTATATCATCTTTAAAAGATGAAAGAATGAACTTAATCATTACTAATATTTAATATGTGGATTGACCCTTGTACATTTATATAATATACACATATTAGGGGTCCGTACACATTTTTTACCGATAAGGACATTGGATCAAAACGAGATAAGAGACCTGTGGTTTTTGAGGGAACTTCAGAACTGATGCAGCCTCCTCAAAGGCTAAAGGGCAGCATGCTGGTTGGGATTTCCAGCCAGCGTTGCTTTATGAGTACTATACCTTCACAATGTGGGAATCCAATCTGTGACAAAATCTGCTTCAAGGTCAATTTGTTGCTCTTAAGCCCATGCAGTTGAAGCCATTCCTCAGATGAGATGAGACTCTGCTCAACCAAGTCTGTTGTGGTGTTGCTCCTTCCCTCTTGCCTCCACAGCTGCTCCTCAGAGATGGTAGAAAATGAGCCTGACATCTCCATCTCTGAACTAGGATCTAATTCACAGGGACTCCTGTAAAGGAAATTGTCAAACCAGACTCCCTGAAAACTTGGAAACAATTTAACATCGAGGATTGGTTTAATATAAATTGCAGTACATCCATGAAGTGGAATTCTATCAGTTAAAAATTATATCGTAGATGTATATTTCTTGGCAAAGAAGATATCTCATATATTGCTAAGAGATATCCATAAAATTCAATACACCATATTCATATGCACATACCCATATACACACAGAAAAACATCTAAAAAGACATACGTCAAGAGGTTTACAGTAGTTTTCTCTGTATGGTGGGAATATGTGTGGTTTTTGCCTTTTCTACATTGTTTAAATTTTGGCATTATTTAAACATTTCTAAAATAGGATTTACTTTTATAACCAGAAAAATGCAAAGCTCTTCCATTTTGGAACACTAACAATGGCTCCTGAACCTTCATTACACATCAGTATTTCAATTATAATCACACCTGACCTTTGGCTTCCAAAGAGGATAAAACCCTGAGAGGAAACAGCTGTTCTGCAGGCGCAGTGGCTAACTGGGAGCTAGCGACAGGGTGGGAGCCAGACCTCGGCTCAGCCCAGCTGGAATACATGGATTCGCCTTCCAAATGTTTTATTCTCTGGGACTTTAAAGTTGGACTTAAACATTCTGGCTCACGTAGCCAGAAGTTCTGGGACCAACCAGACTCAAGGCAATATGAAACATATTAAACTTATCTTGTTGTTAGTGCCGTGGAGCCCATTCCAACTCCCAGCAACCTGTGCACAGCAGAGCAGAACCCTGCCCGGTCTTTTTGTGCCATCCTCTCACCTTCTGGCACCATATCAGACAATGCTCTGCTGCATTCACAGGATTTTCATGGCCAATTTTTTTGGAAGTGGGTGGCCAGGTCCTTCTTCCTAGTCTGTCTAGTCTGGAAGCTCCACTGAAACATGTCCACCATGGGTGACCCTGCTGGTATTTGAAATACCGGTGGCATAGCTGTCAGCATCACAGCAACATGCAGCTGCCACAGGATGACAACCGACAGATGGGTGGTGTGGTTCCCTGAGCGGGGAAATGCAGCGGGGCTGCGGCAGTGAGATCGCTGAGTCTTCACCACCAGACCACCAGGGCTGGCTATTAAAGTTATCCAGACCTCCCTGAAAACAGCCAGTGTGCACAAGAGGAAAGGCGTGGCCAAGCTGTAATGCAACCTTAACCCGCTCCCCACGTCAGGTAGAGCCTGGTGACGTGGAGAGAGAACAGACAGCTCTGCTTACCTCTGTGTCCAGAGTGTGCAGTGCACATAAACCTGTTCCCTGGACTGTAAAACTTTTCAACAATGGAAATACTCCCTTTTCCCATTTGTAAAACTGTATTTCCTGAAAGTCTCGGTGCTAAGACATGAAAATTCAGTCAAACACAGAAATCAGTTGGACCCAAGCTAGGGAGGTTTTGTGAAAAGACGTTAGGAGTATTATTGTTAGCAAACACATTTGACTTTATGTATCTTCTGTATAGTATACACTTAATCCTTATAATAACTTCATGAGGTAGGTAGTACTATTATTCCCATTTTACAGATGAGGAAACCAAGACAGAGAGTGGTTAACTGACTTGCCCACGATCTCACAGCTGGTAGGGGTGTAACTGAAATTCTAACCCAGGTCATCTGGCTCTAGAGTCTGTGTTCTGTGGCCTTCATTATAATAGAAACAACAGCAGCAACTTCCATTTGTTGGGCAGGCAGTGGGATCAGCTTTCTCTATGCACTACCTCATAAATTCTTCATAACCGTATCAGTTATGCACTAACATCCCACTTACATTTGAGGAATCAGAAGCTTTGAGAATTTAAAGAAGTTGTTCAGGACCCACAGCCAGTAAGTGGCAGAAGCAGGAGTCAAAGCCATTTCTTGAGCACTCTGCTATCGCCACAACTGACCTCCTCCAGCCGGGTCCTAGAGGCCAAGCCTACCGATGGACTGCATTCCAGGACTGCTTTCTACTAGGGCTCCTGGGTCCTCACTGAAGACAGAGCACTAACCTTTATTCTCAGAGCTCAGGCTCAATAAGCTTCCCGGCTCGTCCTTTTCAAAGATAATGATTTCCATTTTAAGGTTTATGAGAATTTGTATTGTCCACGTATGTTGAATGCCAAAGGTACACAAACTCATACTGTGAAGATCTTGCCTTCTTTCTATAAGGGTTTAATATGATGAGAATGTTACCATAGTACTTGGAGAGCATCATGTAGGAGTGGGAAAGTTTAGAATGAAAACTCTGTGTGGGTCCGTCCTTAGATAAGTGACTCCTCCTTTCTGCAATGGTAACACCACCTGCACGCCTTGACCCCCAGGGCTACTGCAAGGAACAAACACGGTGATTCAGGAGTTATGCACAGATAAGCACTTGATATATTGGAAAGAGCTATGTACAAATAAATTACTGAAAAGTCATTATCCTTCAGTACTTGTGCTTGGTTTCATACGCCCACTTCTACTCCAAGTACCTTTTACCCCCCAAGTCCCCAGTCACACTGAGCTATGAGGTTTGGGCTGTTCCTTCTCCTCCTTTAGAATCACAGAACATGAAAACAACAAGGAGGGCAGACTAACGTGCTTCCACTTTCTTTCTGAGATGCACCCAACAAAGACTGCCAGCTGAAGAACTTCTAAATTTGGCTAATGGCGCCTATAGAAACAAGAAAAGGAAGCTCAGAATAAAGATTTTTGGGGGCCGGCCCCGTGGCTTAGCAGTTAAGTGTGTGCGCTCTGCTACTGGCGGCCCCGGTTCGGATCCCAGGCGCGCACCGACGCACCACTTCTCCGGCCATGCTGAGGCCGCGTCCCACATACAGCAACTAGAAGGATGTGCAACTATGACATACAGCTATCTACTGGGGCTTTGGGGATGAAAAAAATGAGGAGGACTGGCAATAGATGTTAGCGCAGAGCCGGTCTTCCTCAGTAAAAAGAGGAGGATTAGCATGGATGTTAGCTCAGGGCTGATCTCCCTCACAAAAAAAAAAAAAAAAGATTTTTGGCTATTTCATCATTTCCCATTAATCTTTCCCTTTCCCAAACACACTCACTCACCTCCTATGTTCTTACTAGAGGGAGCTAAGCTACATAAACTGTCCTACTAAGGCTCCTAAACTGGATTTTGGAACCTTAAAGAAGGTCTCAGAAGAGTCATAGCTTTTGTTTTTAAGCCAAAGGGACACGTTCTTGATTCCAAACAAAAGGCGACTGAATCCTCCAGCTAAGGTGCACGCCCTAGTCCCTTCTGGACTCACAAGACTTAAGAAATTAAATAGAAAAAAAAATCTGCTCAGCTCTATCGAATCTGAGAACAGGTACAAGTCATTCCGATTCACATCTTGACTCAGGGTTTTTAAGCCTGAGAATACCCATATTGTTGGAAATGAAAGCAACTGGAAAATGGAACTTCCCCAGAGGAAACAGAGCAAGAAAGAGAGAAAAGGGCATCTCCCAACAGAAGGGATGGTTCTGCTCAAACGGAAGAAGAGCTGCTCTATCAGAGCAAGGGAGCCTGCTGGAGCCACGCTGCCAAGTGACCTGACACAGCAGCCCCTCCACACACAGCCCGCCTGCTCTCCCACCTCCGAAGTGCTCTCGGGCAGTTCTCCTGGGTGCAACCTTAGCCCTCAAGGCCCATTCCAAACCCTGCCTACTCCAGTAAGCCTCTCCAGACCACCTCACCAAGCTTCTGCAGCCTCCCCCTGGGAAAGCCCTAGCTTTTGTTTTGACACTTCACCAATATGGCCTCGGGCACTTCAGGTGCATCCTCTCTAGACTGAAAGAAGGTTCGGTGACTACACGGACAGACTACATGAACGTCCTCAGCACAGTGCACTTTGTATGGGTGTTCAGATGAATTAAATTCATCCCCCAGAATTACTGAGAATCCTGATTTTTCACACAAGGCTAAGATCAAGAAATAGCTGTGTCTGACAGAGACATATTATTTTCTGGATATTACTATGTTATTATCATCACTATTATAATTCGGAGTTTCTTCTTCTGAGGTTATTACAAATTGGGGAACAGAGGAATCCAGAGGTAAGAAACAACAAATCAAAGTTGAGGATTGCCCTAAGTTTTAAAAGCTATCCCAAGAACCAAAGTCTGGGGAAATAGGAAGGGATTTCCTAAATAGAAAGAGAAAGTATAAATGGAAAAAGAGAAAAAAGAAAAAAAAGGAAATGAAAGTTTGAGCTGAAGGCAGGGACAAGTAGACAGAGTTTTTGGGAAAAAGAGGTTAAGCTGGCGCAAGTCCAAAGGCCCCAACCAAGGGAACTAGGGGCTCTGTGTACAGCCAGCCTGTGTTGCTCGAGTCTGCCTATAGTGGGCAGCCAAGAGATGCCCCACAGCTGTCCTGAGGAGAGCACTTTGTGGCAGTCCTATATGCCACTCTCTAAAGCCTTTGTGCCTTTAGAGAGTAGGTCCTATATGGTCAGAGGTTGAGGCACAATGCATGACATAGAGTCCATGAATTCAGCTTAAATATTTGGTATACTTCTACCTGCTTTATTATCAACACCCAAAACTTCCTATATCCTTGTTAGTTGCTGAAAAAGAAGTCTGGGCTAGGTGGGTGTACCTTGTGATTTATGTGAGTTTTGAATTATGATTACTCCAGAAAGAAAGGAGGCTGGGATGAAGCCCCGCGGGTATCCTGCGGCAACCGTCCCCCAGAAATTCTTAATCTCCCTCCCCTCTATTCTTCTGCCCTTGAGGGGCAAGGCTAGGCTGTGATCTTATGTGCTCAAATAATGTGGGCAGAGTCAGGGAGGCTGAAATGGACTGTCCCACAGCGGAGAAAATAGGGCCAAGGAAAGAAAATTGAAGAATAATTAGGGTGCTTTAGAGGGAAGTTCATTGCTGAGGCGAAAGAAACCAAGAGAGCCCAAGAAGATGAAGGGAAAACTCTTCCAGGGGGGAAGCTAAATCTAAATCTAAATCTAATTTAGCTAAAGCTAAAATCTAATCTAAGCTTAATTAGATTAGAAAATGGGGCTCATCTTAGTGATGTGATTGTGAAAACCACATACGTGTGGGAGAACGGGAGAGAGCCAGAGGACATTCTGGGACAGAAAGTCGTAGAAAGCTTTAATCCAAGCAGAGCGCTTTCGGTTTTAGACTATTCACATTATCACTATTTCTTAAAAATAAATTTCTCCTGTTCTTGTATCACCTCCAAAGCCCAAGTGGACTTCACCTTCTTGTTACTGTTGGCCTGTGATAAGACAGAAACTAGGAACGCTGGTTCTCCACTAGAGCGGCTGGCCGAGCTTTCGGGGGGGTGAGGTATGGGGGAGAGAGCTGCACAGTAGGAGGGTTCGGGTACCCTGTTTCTTGGCCTGACCCCAGAACCAAATAGTTAAGGGGGTCCGGGCAAGTCGCTGAGTTTTACTGGGCCTGTTTCCACATCTGTAAGTCCAGCTGGGAAGCTGTGTAATTCCAAGATTTCCCCACGCAGCCTGTCGGAAACCTCAGCACCTCCGAGGTTCCGGCGTGGACAGGATCGCATCCCACACTTACTAGGCAAAGGCAGACGAAAATCAAGGCGGTTCCTGTTCAGCAGCCCCCCTGCCATCCTCCGGGGGCCGTCTGACCCGAGAGGGCGGGCGAGGTACGCATCCCGCCGGCTGGTAAAGCGGCGATTCCCGCGGGCGAAGGGTCCGCGCTTGGCGCAAAGGATTCCAGCCGTTCGATGCTCTGTGACCCGCGCGCGATCCGCGTCGCCGCGGTTGCTCGGACACCGCCAATCACGGCGCGGCTCCCCGAGCCGGCCCCGCCCACGGAGCGCGCGCCGCGGAGGCGGGGCCAGGGGCCGAGGGGCGGGGCTCCGAGGCGGGCTCCTGGGCGCGGTGGGGACAGCAGGTGAGCGGAATCCCCAAGGGGCCCACGACGTCCGTCTCGGGCCCGAAGCAAGGGCCCCACGCCGGGGGGCGGGGCGGATGGCACTGTTTCCTGCGCCTGCTGTCATCGGGGAAATTAACAACGGTGGTGAATATTAATTAATTAAATGAACAAATGCGTAAACACACAGACGAGCCCGGGTAAGGGGCGAGGGTGCCAGCAGATTGTGGAGGAAGGCGCCGAAGGCGAGGGGGAAGCCAGCACGCTGGAGGAAGCGTTGCAATTAACTTCTCTACGTACTTTGCAGCCTACAGAGCACGTTCCCCTGCGTGATTTTGTTTCATTTTCAAACCCAACGCTGTGAAGAGAGATTTTCTTCGCTTTACAGTTGAGGGAAAGAAGCTTAAAGAGGTGGGACAGTTAGTTGTAAATTGCTCAGCCGTGGAGCCACAGTGGAGCTGAGACGGGAGGGACAGTGAGCTGCACTTTTGCAAATTTGCAGTTTTGGAGGCGCGGGCTGCGGTGACCAGAAATACTGTCCTCTATTAGATATGAGTATTGCTATAGGCATTATCTTCTCCATTCTGCTTTATTTTTAACCCTTGTTTTCTTTTTACCTTATCAGGTAATCAAAGAGCTCAAAATATATGCCTGTGATTTTTCAGTCACTCGGAAATAAAACTGTGCTTATGAAAAGCATCCTTAAACCCTTAATAAAAGATCCCGCAGGCAAGTATTGTTGTACTATATTAGGATATTAAACTGTGTTTTAGATTTTAAAACTCAAGAAGTGACCAGATCATTTGTAGGTTTTTGAGTCAAAGATCTAATAAAACATAGTTAATATTAGAACTGAGTAATTCTGTCTTTAACAGAAAAGTCTACTTCATCCATAGGGGTTTATTTTTCCTACTTTTTTGGGGGGGAGGGGCGGCTGGGAAAGATTTGCCCTAAGCTAACATCTGTTGCCAATCTTTCTCCTTTTTTTCCTCCCCAAAGCCCCAGTACATAGTTGTATATTCTAGTTGTAAGTTCTTCAGGTTCTTTTATGTGAGTGGAAGCCACAGCATGGCTACTGACAGACAGCGGTGTGGTTCTGCCCGGGAACCGGCAGTGATGTGGTTCCCACTGGGAGCCCAACCCAGACCGCCCAAGCAGAGCCCACAGAAATCTAACCACTAAGCCATCAGGGCTAGCTCTCCTACATTTTTTAAATGCCTTTGTAACTTTAAAAGTACTGAAAGGTTTGATCTCAAATCACAAATCATTCACCAGAGTTATCAGATTGTATACCATTGGCCCTGCAAATGACATCTGCTAGCTGCACCACCAAAAACCAACACTCAGTGTTGAGTTCTAAACATTCTGTTCAGAAGGGAAGTAGTACAGCAGCCACGCCCACATGTGGCAATGCCACCTTAATCCCTGCTGCCCACACCCTGCCAGACTAATATTATAGGATCACGTGAGTGAGACAGAGTGCATAGCACCCACGAGGTCAAACCCACTGCCTTATGTAGTCACACCAGGCACTCCTGTCCCCACCTTCACCCCATGAATTCTCCCATCCCTGGGACACTTGCCACTTATATGCAAGAAACTGCAGATAACTCTGTGCTTCTGTCAATTCTGTTTTTGTGCCTATAAGCATAAGTTCCTATGAAAAGTTTACTTAATTAATTACTTAAATTGTAGACAGATCAGTGAGCAGAAGTTTAGGTTAATTTGAAGTGTTGCATAGCTGGTACGGACTGCAGGTCAGCTAGCCACAGGATGGTTCACCTCATTTTTGCTTGCTGAGTAGTCTGGAATTAGAATACTTTTAGCACAGTTGTGATCTACCATTGTACTGAACTTTAACAAATTTGTTTTGAATTTACATTTTTACAGATCATTTGTATCCTACCCTCGACCTCAGTAATTGACATTTAGCGTATCACTCCCATCCTTAAATTAATGTCTAACCTGAGTTTACCATTCAGGGCCCAGATTATACTTTCAGCCTCTTTGCCCACAACTCAAACCCTCCCATCAGAGAGACTAACCTGGTCCCTACCTCTGACCACAGATACCTTTACTCAAACCATCCCCTTCACCTGGACTACCACAGGTTAGAAGCCACATCCCCCCAGGTCCTTCAGGGTCAGCTCAACGTCCTCTCTCTTCACAAAGCCTCTCAGGGACACTCCAGCCTCAATAATTTCTCTCCACCTGTCCAGACTCAGAGCATCAATTGTCATTACTATACTCTTGGCAGCCTTGTACTGCCTCGTGATGGCCCTTACATTGTTATTTGATCTTTGTGCTGTTTACTTTTCAGGTTGAATGGTTTTTCTTTTTCTTTAAACAAGTCAATCACTGGCACTACTTGGGCTAGAATTTATTGAATGCCAGACAATTTAAAGTTCTAAGCACTTTAAATATATCACTTCATTCAATCCTTACAAAATCACCAGGAGGGAAATACCTCATGGATTTGAACAGGCTTTTAAGAGAACACATTTCAATTTTAAATGGCATAAAGCAGATATATTTTTTAATTACCCCTCCTTCGCACACTTCCTGTTAACCGACACCCTTGCAATGTGGCATTGCTTTTAAATTAACTGGATGCCTTTTAGTCTACTACTGTATCCCAATAGCTAAATTAAGAAGAATTGAGCAACAATATTTTGTCTAAACCAAAAGTCCCCAACACTTGGAAATTTAAAATCACTCTTCAAAATAGATACTTATAGCAAAAGCTGCCCAAAACAATACTCCTGGGATGAGATTCTGATCGGATGGAAGTGGTATTCAAGAAGGGGCCTGAATCTTGCCTTGGCCTGGTTATCCTTTCCTGCAGTTCCTAAGGAAAGGAGTGCACACCCAGGACAATGGCAATAGGCAATAAGGCATTTCCTTATTTTAGATCCCTCTAACCCTAGTGCAGGTGACCTGGCAAGCCTGTGTGGGTGCAGGACTTGGGCACGAGGCTAGGGTCTCTCTCTTCTTCTAAGCGCAGATCTTTCTACCAACTCCTGGCCGAGCCTGGAGGGGCAAAGGTGTGGCACTGCTTATATGGGAGGAAGAGAGAGAAGATGGTCTGCCCACCGGAAGAGGTAAGCTCTGGTTTGGCTGCCCGATTTTCCCCTTTGAGAAAGAGCAAAGTACCAGAGAGAGAACCACACCTAGTGGATAACTTCACGAGTTACGAGTGCCAACTCATAAACTTGGCGCCATCCACATCCTGGAATTGGATCCAATTAGATCCATACTCCCACTTCTTGAGGAGTGAAGAGGAGAGAGGAAAGAGAGAAAGAGAATAACAGTAGAAGATTAGAACATTCTCATTGATTAATCTAACTGTAAATATCCTACATAAAATACCAGTACATTGACTTTAATAGATATTTTTTAAATCATTGTTTTAAAATTTGTAAAAGTACATACCTTTCTGCCAAGCAATTCCACTTGTAGGTTTCCTTGAGAAGACACAAAAGTATTTTTTTTTTAAAGATTTTATTTATTCATTTTTTTCCCCCCAAAGCCCCAGTAGATAGTTGTATGTCATAGGTTCACATCCTTCTAGTTGCTGTACATGGGACTCAGCCTCGCGTTGGACGGAGAAGTGGTGCCTTGGGGCGTGCCCGGGATCCGAACCCGGGCCGCCAGTATCAGAGCGCGCACACTTAACCGCTAAGCCACGGAGCCGGCCCCAAAAGTATTTTTATGATAGCAAAATAATGGAAATCATCTAAAAGCCCATTAATAAGGAAGTGGTTGAAATTATTGTGTATTGTCATTGTCATAGGATAGTTTTAAAAGAATAAGTTTATTTCTTATAATGTAGAAAGGTCTCCGAGATATATTGCTGAGTTTTTTTAAATTAAGTTGCAGAACAAATACATGCAGTATAGTGCATTATGTGTTAAAACACACACACACACAAACACACACACACAGTTATATTGATGCATTCATGTTTGCTTCCACTTACAGCCCATGGACCAGAGCAGGTCACATAACCCCACCTAATTGCTAGGAGATGGGGAACTGTAGGGAGTACAAGATAATCCCTGGGCAGTGGGAATTTCTCTTTGTCACATAAGCCAAGATTTAGGCTTTGGAGAACAACAGCCAGAAAGAGTGGCAGGCACTGTGCTACACACATCACTTGAGGAAATGAAGTAGAGAACAGTCTGCCTGGTGGAATGCGGTGGCAAGGACACGTGGAATATACAGAGAGCCAGAAAAAAAATGCACACACACATTCGTATATGGTCCAGCTACATCTAAAACTATATACAGGTTTCCCCTGCTATCTGCAAGTTCGACGCCACTTGGCATTGATGAAAGACCTACATTAGTAACTGTTCTGGCTAACCAAAAGAAATCCAAAAAGGATTTTCACTTTCACGAAGAAAGGGAAAAAGCAA